AGTGCTGCATAACATTTTGAAAAGCTTGTGAAATAGTGGCAGAATATAGTCTGGTCAGATGAGAACAAAACTGAACTCTTTGGATGCCATAGTACACATTATGTTTGGAGGTCAAATGGCTTTGCACATCACCCCAAAAACACCATAGCAACAGTGAAGTTTGGAGGTGGGAACATCATGGTGTGGGGCTGTTTTTCAGAATACGGTTCTGGCAAACTTCAAATAATTAAAGGAAGGATAATGGAAAAATCTACGGACACATTCTTGATTAAAAATCTGCTGCTATCTACCAGGATGATGAAGATGAAACGGGGGTGGACATTTCAGCAAGACCCCAAACACACAGCCTAGGAAACTCTATTGGTTTCAGAGAAAAACATTAAAGCTGCTAGAATGGCCCAGCCAATCACCTGACTGGAATCCAGTAGAAAATCTATGGAAAGAACCAGAGATCAGAGTTCATGGAAGAGGCCCAGGAATCCTTCAAGATTTGAAGAGTGTTTGTGTGGAAGAATAGGCCAAAATCACACCTGAGAAATGCATGTGACTAATGTCTTCTTACAGGAGGCGTCTTGAAGCTGTCCTTGCCAATAAAGGCTTTTGTACAAAATGTTAAATACAATTCAACAAGACACATAATTTAATTTCTGGACATCTATGGTTTGATTTGTTTGTATGTGTGGATTGCACGGATTGTTGCCGACATCTGGTGAAGATCTTATGTCATGGCTACTCAATAAATATGTATTTACTGAGAAAAATTATGCTATGTTCAATACTTATTTTACCTGCTGTAAATATAGTTCGTGTAGAATCTGAAATAAAAAAATCCAGACATCAATAATTAGGGTTGAGTACTGAATTTAGTACTTTTTTTGGTACCTACAGTATTCCATTGGTAATACAAAGTACCTATTTAAGTAAAATCCAATGATACCATTTTTTGGTCCATAAACACATAACAGAGAGAGGAAGAGTGGTTTCATCAGACATGAACACAGCATTCACAGCACAAAAGCGTGAAGATGTCAGAAGTTGCTGCTAAAGTAAACAAAGCTAGCATGGCTAATAGAAAAAACCTGAAAGCAAGGCTCTACTTTCCAGAATGCAAAGATTACTCTTGCTGCAATATTTGTGTATCAAAGTACCACCATCTGGTTAAGTGCAAGATTTTTAACTGAAGTGCTGAAGAGAACACCAGTTTCAACAGAGTTTGATAAGCACCCATCTGAAATTAGCTTTTAAAACTTGTGATGTCTGTAATGTGCGGTGGTGCGCTCTCACCAATGGTTCCATTCAAGGTGCGCAGTCACTATGTTTCCGTGTCTGATGTGTGATCATATACAACTGAAAGTTGAATAATTATTTCTTCTTGGCCGGTTTATGGAACTGTCGCTGTATCCTGAACCTTAATCACGTGCTGTACTTCATATGGGGCCCACCCAGATAATGTTGCTTACAGGACTGTTGTTTGCATGGTACCTAAATTGGAACCAATTGAATACTGACACTGATTCCCAGTTACCAGACATCTGTGGCGTATCAGTTTAAATGTGAACAATACCCATCGATATAAACAAGTTTACTGTGGGTTTTATTTCAGTCTGAATATGGATTTTCCTTGGCAAATCCCAGAAACCCCAAACTAGAACTTTAATTTGAATAAATACAAAGAAAATTAATGCAATCAAAACTTAACTCACTTTTTCTACAACATAAAGTTTCTTATGTTAATATGTGGATGTAAGATACTTTTATTTGGAGCTTCTTGAAGGGATGTCTAGCTTCCATCAACAATCCTTGAACTGATCATTGGTCCTCTGTTAAGCGGTTTTGGTTTGAAGGAATCTTCTTAGTTTCTTTTTTGTTTTCAGAAACTGCGCCTGAAAACAATGAAGTAAATCTAATCAAAGTCTGTTAGCTGAGAACATGAGAGGATGCTGAATTACAGGCTCCTCGCTGATGAGATGATGTCTTAACCAGATCAGGAATGGTTTGGAAAATATGATTTCCCTCTGAAGATGCTCAGAAACCAGAACCCAGATATGATCCCACTCTTGTTTGTCAGACTGCCAGACGAGGCCCGGGTATTTAAATGGTCTGGCTCGGCAGTGAGCTGTGGAGTTCCAGCTCAGCTCAGCACAAAATACCAGTGCTGAGGGGAAACAGGAACCCCAAGGGACCAAGCCCCTGTTAGCTTTTCCATTTTAGAGCGGTAATTTTCATCTCCGCCTCAAACGCAAAGCAAAGAAGCTTCCTGTTTAACAGAGAACAAAGTCTGAGTCTTTGATGGATTAACTCTGTACTGCGTTTGTCTCAGAGTTTCCAAATCTTTCTAATACCACCTTAAATCAGTGACTTCCCTGCTAGGGGCAGCCTGTCAGCCGTCTGGGAAACGGCCTGATGGTTGGGATGATGCCGGCTGCTTCCAGCAATGATTTAAAACATGGAAGGAATGTTTTCCAGCAGCAGACGACAAAGAGGACCTGTGGTAATGTTCCTACAGACATGACAGGAGGGTTGAAGTCCAGCAGACTGAGCCAGATTATATCAGGCTGGATTATGTCTGGCAAAAAAGTCTTATTCTGCACTGTATGACATTGAAGAGTTTTTGATTCACCTTTTTTACAGAAACAAAATGTGAAATGATGATATTTTTTGCATAGTACTAAGCAACTGATCTACAAATTAATCTGGATCATAACAACTTATTTAATGTTTTAGTGACGTAAAGTTACACTAAATCTAACGGCTTTAAAAAAAAATAAAAATAAAACACACAATAACTAAACAGTTACAAAAAATAAGTTAAATTTACACTATGTTTTTTTTTACTGTTTTTAGTTGACCTTGAAATGACAGAGGAGAAATAACATTAAACCAAAAAGCATTGAGCACAGAAATAGAGAAGGTGTTTGAGACTCTGGTGCTTTTTTGTTTAAAACCAAGCTTGTTTTAAATAAGTGAAAATACTCACAATGGGTATAATAACCCATAGATGTTACTCAAGTTACAGTAGCGATAGTTAATCATATTCAAGTAAAATGTAGAAAAACTACTCAAATTATTTGTTAAAGTTACTCAAGTAAATGTAACTGAGTAAATTTAAATTACTACCCACCTCTAAAATCAGCTGACGACTATTAGTCCCATTTACTGTCCCTATCCTCATCAGGCTCCGCCCCTTTTAGATTAGTATCCAGATATTGGAGGAGAGACTCGGTCATATTCTTTAACATTTTAGTCATTTTGAAATTCAAAAGAACAAAAGCAAAGTCTCTGAGAGCAGTTTAGAGT